CAAAGACCACATGTGGAGATAGGGGAAACTTGTGGAAGGACAGGCCTCACTGCAAAGCATCCTTGATCTGGCCTTCCCTGATCTGGCCAAACAGAATCCTCTCCCCACTTCAAGACAGATGAAAGCCCACTTGGAATTTTCAAAAAATCACCTAACGGGCTTTCAGACAGTGAGAAATAAGATTCTCTGGTCTGATGAAAAAAAGATTGAAATATCTGGCTTCAATTCAAAGTGTCCTGTCTAAAGGAATGTAGGCACCACTCATCACCTGTGAAATAACATCCCAACGGTGAAGCATGGTAGTAGTTGCATCATGCCCTTTTTTCAGCAGCACGGACTGGGAGACTGGTCAGGATTGAGGGAAAGTTAAGGCACAAAATTCATTAGTGATATCATGGTGGTGTCTTATCAGCCATGATTTTAAATATAAAGAAATAAGGTACTTTTTAAATCAATTTGCACAGTTTGGGCATTGGTTTTCTTGAACCCAATTGAACATCTCTGCAGAGCTGGAAATGGCTGTCCACTAACGGTTTCCATCCAACCGGACAGAGTTTGATAGAATCTGCAGAGATGAATAGCAGAAATAACTAAAAAAACAGGTGTGCAAAGCCTGTTGCATCATACCCAAAAGGAATTGAAGCTGTAATCGCTGCCAACGGTGCTTTAACTAAGTACTGAGTTAAGGATTTGAGTACTCATGTCAATGTGATATTTCAGGGTTTTTTTGTTTAATATATTTGCAATAGTGCCAAAAAATCTAGCCTTTGCTTTGTCATTATGGGTATTGGTATGGAAGATTGATCGATTATGTAGATTGATATGAAGAAAAAAAAAACAATCCATTTAAACAATTATAGCAAAAAAAGTTGCATAAACAATGGAAAAAATTAAGGCATCCGAATACTTTCTGAATGCACTGTAAGCAATCAAACCATTTGCAAATGGCTGTACAACTTACCTGGGATCCACTGAGCACCAGTCACTTCCTCTACTGAGAGCCAGAACCTTCAGCACAGAGTTTATGTTAGTTCTCCTGAGCTAAACCCTGCCATGCATGGCTAGCTCATTGGCCAAGAGCATCAGCTGATTGCTAACAGGCAATGGGCTCAGCCTGCACTGTCAGACTTAACTCAATGCACAATCCTTCCTGTACTTATAGTGTTCCTTTAATATACTTATTGCAATCAAAGCACATGGGTCTATCCACTAACCAGTGACTTTTTAAAAATTGGAGAGGAAATTACACATTTTATAAATAAATTTTGTCCTGTTTAAATGGGCACTGTAAGCACTATAACAACTATAAATCATTGTAGTGGTTATGGTTCTACTAGGCTCCTGTCGCTATTCCCCGTATCCTTGTCAAATGCATCTTTTAAGATAATACAAAAAAGACAAAAAACTAGTGTATAGGCGCTTCGTAAATCTAAAGATAAAAGTGGTGGAAGATATAAAAGTGTTTCCCCAAACACAATAAAATGTGAATAACAAAGACAAAATGTATATCAAACCACACAACGTGAAAAGGTAATAGATATGCAAAAAATACAACCTGAGCTTGTCAGTATAATCAGGTGGTATCTAAAAGCATAAGATAAAATACTATTATTTTATCTTATGCTTTTAGATACCACCTGATTATACTGACAAGCTCAGGTTGTATTTTTTGCATATCTATTACCTTTTCACGTTGTGTGGTTTGATATACATTTTGTCTTTGTTATTCATCTTTTAAGATAAACCA